GATTTATACAGTGCTTGGCTGGACCAGGGAATGCATTGTTCCTATGGAAGATGTAATTTTCAGCACAAGAGTTTGACTAGCATCATGCCACCTACAAACTTACTCCCTTTGAACAGAAGACTTCCCACTTAATCCCCAAATATAAACCCTTACATATTAAGATCCCAGCTTGAGTAGTTTATCCAGTGTGGGTCTCAGTCCTAGGTTTACAAACCTGCCTTGGCAAAACATTAGCCACCCCCTCCCACTTCCTTACAGCCTACCCCATCACTCTCAGAGATTTAGAATGCCTTGGATGAATGAGGTCATGTGGTGTGGTGTGCCTGTGTGTGTGTGTGTGTGTGTGTGTGTGTGTGTATACGCACACATCTGTAAACACCACATGTGATTTTTGAAGTTTAACTAATGTTGAGAGCTATGTAATTAAAAAGAACAAGATCTTTCAAGAGCAATTTGCTTTAATGATGAATAATTGATGAGCCTAAGGCTAGGAAGGAGAGAAGATACAGAGCTAATGATGATCAAATAGTTCTGTGTTCCAAGAGGCTTTTCTTCACAGTTCCCTTATCTCATGGATACATTAGACTTTTCATAAGTTGAGTGCTTTAAACTATACACTTCTGAGGTTGAGAACTCAGTTGGTAAGTGTCCACCTTGCAAATATAAAAACTTGACTTTAATCCCCGAGGCCCACATAAATAATTTGGGCATGGTGGCATGTGTGCTTGTAATCTCAACCCTGGGGAGACAGGCTGACAGATCACAATCCAGCATACTGAGTGAAATTCGAGTCAACAAGAGACTCTGTCTCAAAAAATAAAGTGAACAACTCCTCAGTAACATAGTCAAGGTTGACCTCTAGCCTTATTGGTGAGTACGCAATGACTGAGCACATGAACATACACACCATACACACACCACCACCACCACCACCACCAAAAACAACAACAAAACACTATAAAAATCCCATCCATTTTGGAAATCAGAGTCACGGAGGAAAGTTACCTGTAAGTTTAATAATCATAATGATGATGTTGATGATAATAATAATAATAATAATGTAAGCAACAAATTGCCTTTTCACTGGGATAATATTGGTGAATTTCCATATAAGGGAACTGACTCTTGGCCAACACAGCTCTGGTTGGACTGGGCTGGGATTTTATGAGCAATGTTTAACTCATACAACAGACACATATTCTGATAATGACTACTGAAACTAGACATAGATACTTGTCTGCATTTTCTCACTAGGAAGCAGGGATTGGAGCTTGGAAGCTCAATCACTTTATTGCTTAAAGCCATACTGCAGCTCTATAAACCTTGTCTTCATGCCCTTGTCCTATGGAGTAGGCCATACTGAAACAGTAAAGACCATTAGCTGACTGATAAAGTAATAACGTCAAGGAAATACCTAATACACATTCAAGAATATATACAGAAGAAGACTATATATCTGGTAAATGAGCCAGAGCTGACTGGGGAGCTTTATTAGAAACATATTAAGCAACTATGAAAGAGGCCTAAGCTTTGTTAAATTTGGGTGGTTTTGTTTACCACTCTATCATACTGTGGGTTTGAAATATTTCATTGCTAATTATTCTTGAGCAATGGGACATAGAAGAAAGATAAGACACTTGGTATAATGAATTATTCAGGTGATTTAAAATAAACTAGAGGGCAGATAATAGCAGATATGACCTCAACAGAGAGATAAGGTGGAGAAGGGGGTGCTGTCTAATTAACTACAAAGGAAAGGAGAATGTGAGAAATATTTAAATCACTGGCTCTGTGTTCTGTTATATGTAATTTCCCCCAAGCGCTCTCCCCAGTGTGACTCTTCCTGCTTAATGACTAAGAGCAATTAGCCAGTCATACGCTCAAGAAAAAGAGTCTTTAGTTTTATGTTTGATGCTAATTTTTCCAGCAAAATGTTAGTGTTCATGAACCAGGTGAAGTAATAAGGGCGGCAGCGCTGCGTTCCCAGCACCCCGGCCGCCTGCCCGGCTAGCTTATGCCCAAAATAATTACACGGACACTGTATTCCTCCAAACACTGCCTGGCCCATTCTCTTCTAGGCTAATTCTCACATATTAATTTAGCCCACCTCTAATCATCTGTATGTAGCACCCCAAGGTGCGCTTACCGGGGAGATTCCAGCCTAGTCCATCCTGGGTCGGAGCTTCATCCTGGGAGCGGGGCATGGCGTCTCTCTCTGAGGCGTCTGCTCCCGAGAGAGCTGTGGAGTCTCTGAGCTCACTTCCTCTTCCTCCCAGCATTTTGTTCTGTTTACTCCTCCCACCTATCCTCTAACCAATAAAATGGGCCAGGGCAGTGCCTTTATTAGCCAATGACCTTCCTCCATCAACCAGGGTCACAGCACCTCACAAACTCAACACTATAAGACCAGATACCGCCAACTTGGTCTGGCTGCTTTTGTTGCTGTTGTTTATTAGGAAGCATAGATGATGTGGGATTTCCCTCTGTATGCTTGAATACTATTAATAAATAAAGGAACTGCTTTGGGTCTATAGCAGAGCTATAGGGGAACAGAGCTAGGTGGGAAAAACTAAGCTGAATGCTGGGAGAAAGAAGTGCGAAGTCAGAGAGAAGCCATGTAGCCCTGCAGGAGATAGATGCCGGAACTTTGCCAGTAAGCCACTGTCATGTGGTGATACACAAATTAATAGAAATGAGTCAAATTAATATGCAAGAGTTAGCCAATAAGAAGCTAGAGCTAATGAGCCAAGCAGTGGTTTAAATAATATAGTTTCTGTGTGGTTATTTTGGTTCTGGGTGGACGGCACGAATAAGCAGCCTCCTCCTACACATACATATCTAGAAGGCAATGTGACACTAGGCCAGAATAATTAAACAACAGTAATAAGTTTTCACCTTTGCATATAACCTCCCTAGACTTTGAGTTGTTGGCCAGACTTACAGTACCTGGCAGCCATCCCTCCCAGCATGGAGCAAGGCCTCAAATTCAACAGAAGGCCATTGGTAATACCAACAGCAGTCAGACTGGTATAAATGTTGGCATTCTGGCTTTTAGGGTACACAGCAGGAGAAGACCAACAATGTCTTTGATAATGACTTCTTCTCCAGCCAGCCACTCAGTACCCTCCTGTGTTTTAAATCTCTCACATTCTTTCTCTCTCTCCTTTCTCTTCCTTCCTTCCTTTTCTTTTTTTCTCTTCCTTCCTACCTTCCTTCCTTTCTCTTTATTTTCCTTCCTAACTTTCTTTTTAAGACAGGGTCTATTACTGGGATCTGCAACTTATTAATTAGCTAGTCTGGCAGGCCACTGAGCCACAAATAGCCCCTGATCGCCATCTCCCCAGCTCTTGGATCACAAGCATGTGCCACTTCTCTGGGTTTTATATGACCTAGAATTAGAACTCAGATACACACACTCATGAATCAAGCACTTCCCTGAGTGAGCCATCTTCCTAGCCCCTAAAAACAAACAAGCACACAAAATCATAAATAAGGAAAGTAAGGTTTAGAAAGTAGGACAGACTTGGGACTGACATTTGGAAGTCCATAATCTTTCTGAATGCAGACCCAGGACACTATAGAATAAAACCAAACTTTTAGGTCTCTGTTGGAAAAGCATGTAATGAGCCTAAATTAGCAACCATCTCACCCTGAGAAAAATTACAGAGACAATATTTGTGCTGAAGGGAAAATTTTTCTTTTTCTAGTGAAAGCTTTATCTTTCTGTTTGAACTTCTTGTGCCAGACAGAGGTGTCTTCATGGTGAGTGTGGATGCCCATGGGCTTAGTGAGTTCCTCCTCAAGCAAATTCCCAGTGCCTGTTGTAGGCTGGATCCCAACTCCCAGGACAAAGCCCAGCAAATGTCAGGCTGGGGATATGTGTGATACGTGAGTTACTGAGCTAGGTCCCTTGAGCTGCCTCAGAGGCTGTCTCCTTATAACTTGTCTCTTTTGTTCATCTCTACAATGACTTCCAGGGACAGATTAGATTGGTCCTATATTCTGTGGACCTTTAGTGTTTAGCAAGTGTGTGTCTCTGCTGTAGGAATATGGAGGAGCCTGACACAGTTGAGAATTTGAGTGGTGTCCCTTGGACTGTTCACAGCAACCTTGCAGCCTCAGAGTGAGTGCGTTGGGTCCTGGCTACTATGGCAGCTTGCCTATCCTGCTTCTGGTTTTAGTCTTAGCTGTACAAGTCCTACAAAGCACTTTGACGCCATGAAGATGATGTTGCCATGGGAAAGGGAAGGTGGAGAAAGACATTAGACTCACTGATTCAACTCTCCTAGGTCCCCAATTGCAGTGGGCAAAATAGGAAACTGAGGCATGTCATTTAATGTGTGGAAACTAAAGATACCTCACTAGTCCCTGAGCGGCACTGCCAGTGACTGCCAGACTGCAGATGTGGACAGGGTTCCTCAAATAAGAGTGACCTTGACCCAGAATGCTGGGACTGCTGGGGACCAATAAGTCTTAAATTAACTGGTATCTTTCAAAGATCAACCATAGGTCAGAGAGGCCAAGTGACTTTCCAGCATTATACCATAACACCTCAATTATTTTCATTCCCCCACCCATCGTCTTCATTACATGACCTGCATCTGGTTCCCTTCCAAAGTTAAAAAAAATCCTGGGTTGCAAATTCAGTTGGCTGAAGTGGAGGTGTACTTTGTTTTCTTGCATTTTAGGAGACATCTTCAGTAATCATTTGGTAGTGTGTTTCCAAACAAGGCCTGCGTAATGTGAGACCATGCCTGAAGTTCTGCTGTTACAATGTCTACACAGAAAATCTTACTGATAGCTAACACCTTAGAGACTCTAATATAAAATGCTTCCAAGACCTCATGTCACTGCCTTCCCACTTTCCCTCAGCTATTTAGTGACAGTAGATCACCGAGCTGCCTCATACTGGGAAAAGAAAGATGAGGAGGAGACAGGGGAAAGGGAAAGGGGGTTCTGGGGCTACATTTCAGCCTATATTGAACTTGTAATAGACCTACCAAGATTATCTTCCCAGTGTAGAGGGCCAGAATCGAAGCTGAACTTGTCTTCTTAGCTGAGCAGAGACATGATTCATGGAGAACAGAGAAAACATTGGAAATGAAAGTCTAGGGTATGAACAGCCGAGATACTTCCTTTCTACTGCCCACACTGATCAACCGATAGGAGCTCTCAGAGCAATAGATTTGTAACTAAACTCAGTTGAATTGTTCTGTAATAGGCCAGTAATATCTGCACTGGAGGAGGAGACAGTAAATGTATATGTGCTGTATACAGCAGCACGGGGCCATATGACAATGGCTAAGTATACGAGCTCCACAGATAGTCTCGATCCCCTATTATGGTGACTGGAAAAGTCACTTCCTCTTCAGTGTCTCATTTTATTCTACTTGTAATTCTGGTGATATTCTTGATTTGGACACTTGCCAGGAGTGCCTGGAGAGCATCTGTGTTATGTAAGGGTGTGGGTCAGATTTAAATTAAGACCATAGAAATCAGCTTTGGGTTAGTTGGACAGCATCTCTACTACTGATAAAAAACATGTAAGGTGTTTTGACTCTGTAGTATTTAAGACAAAACTTAAAAGTGTGTTTTAAAGCAGAGTTCTGGAGGTTCCAGAATGCGTTCAGAACAGGGTGCCTTCCATAAAGGCAGGCTTCACTTAATCCACACTGGTCCAAGCTTGGTCTTCCGTTGGAATCGCTTACACCACTTAATGAGCCTGCTCTGTGGTTGTTTTGTCTGCCGACTTCTGAAAATACTCGCTTCATACAGGAAGAGAGGAGTAGGGTGGGAAAGAAGGAGGGAGGCTTGGAGCAAACAGGCTCAGATCTCTAGTTGTGTAAGTGACTCTGCCTTGTAGAGATGAGGGTAGAAGTGAGTCTTTCTGAATCCCTCATCTCCCTAGCAGGGTCTCAGTGCCTGGAGTATAGCACCCCATCCCCTGGTCTCTGACTTGACAGTGTATTTGTTCACATCCCCTTGGACTTCAAGGTCAGGTGGTAGAAGAAGCAGCTTCTTGTGCCTCAGTTCTTACCCACCTGACTCTTCTCTGCCTAAAGTCCCCTCGCTGTTACTCACATCTTAAGAACCTAAGCCTCTATTTTCCCCTGTTGGCCAGATACCATGGTCGTTCTCAGTGACTCCACTTTCTAGTAAACAACCAGTCAAGTTCAGCTCGAGCTTTTCAGTTTCTTGATCAGTTAACAGTAACAGGTATTTCCCCATGCCGCTCTACTCCCCAACTCATCTGGCCATATTGTGACTACATCAACCTAAGGCAGCATCTCCGAAATGTAGATGTAGGGGCCACATCTCCGGTATCTGACCCTTCTTCTCACTGTCTCCATCACTCTAGCACAAGGCAGATCCACTGATTCCCAGACCCTCCCCACTGCATATCAGCCCTGTATTCACATCTTACTTTAGATTCCATAGCCCAGTGTTACAGGCACTGTTTTGCAAACACTTGCAGCCTTATGTTGTCATCTTGTGTCCTATTGACATGGTATAACTCCAAATCCTCAATGAGTCCAATGAGAATTCTGCTTTCTGAACAGCTAGTCCTTGTAGGAGAAAACCAGAGACGGATTACCCTGACCTGATCACTGCTTGTGTTGCAATGTCACATATGCCCCATAAATACATACAGTGACTATGTGACAATTGAAAATAAAAAGAATGAAGTTCACCATATTCTCTTGAAATTTTTAATTATAAGTAACAAAAGACATTCAGCGATTCTACCATTCATAGCTAGTATCCCCTGTTTACAAGGTATCTGTATTCAAATAAATAAATGCATGTTTTACTTACTTCCAACAGTACCTCACTCCACTCTTCACTATGAAAATAACGTCCCAATGCAGATGAAGCAGAAGAAAATGACACTAAAAAATAATTTAATGAAAATGATTGAGGCCCTTAAGGAGGAAATGAAAATTCCCTTAAAGAAATGGAAAAAAGGACAAACAAAAAAATTGGAAAAGATCAACAAATCCCTTAACAAAAACCAAGAAAAAGCAATCAAAAAGGTGAAGGAAATGGTTCAAGACATAAAAAATAAAATAGAGGCAATAAGGAAAACACAAACCAAGGGAACTCTGGAAATGGAAAATCTGGATAAAGATTAGGAACTACAGATTCAAGCATAAACAACAGAATATAAGAGACAGAAGATAAAATGCCAGGTATTGATGTGATAGAGGAAATAGATTTATCCATCAAAGAAAATGTTAAACTCAACAAATTTTTAACACAAAATATCCAGGAAATGTGGGACACCATGAAAAGACCAAACCTAAGAATAATATGGATATAAGGAGAATAAGTACAGCTTTAAAACACAGAAAATTTATTCAGCAAAATTATAGAAGAAAATTTTCCCAACTTAAAGAAGGACATATCTATGAAAATACAAGACACTTACAGTGCACCAAATAGACTGAACAAAAAAAGTACCCTCACTACATAATAACTAAAACACTAAACATACACAATAAAGAAAGAATATTAAGATCTGTTTCCATTTCTTAATGGAAACAATGAAAGTCAGAAGGTCCTGGTCAGGCGTTCTGCAGATACTAAGAGACCATGGATGCCAGCCCAGTCTACTATACCCAGCAAAATTTTCAATCACCATAGATGGAGAAAACAAGATATTCCATGACAAAACCATATTTAAACAATACTTATTCACAAATCCAGACCTATAGAGAGTGCTAGAAGGAAAACTCCAACCCAAGGAAGTTAGTTACATCCACAAAAGCACAGGCAATAGATAATTCCACACTAGTAAATTCCTAAGGAGAGAAATACACACAGAATACCACCATCAACAACAAAAACAAAAATAACAAGACTAGTTATCACTGGTCATTATTATACCTTAATATCAATAGACTCATGTATAAAAAAGACACAAGCTAATAGATTGAATATGAGAACAGAATTCATCCTTCTGCTGTACACAAGAAACACACCTCAACTACAAAGACAGACATTACCTCAGATTAAAGTGTTGGGGAAAGATTTTTAATCAAATATTCCTAAGAAACAAACTGATGTAGCTATCCTAACATATAACAAAATAGACTTCAAAATAAAATTAGTCAGCGGAGATGAAGAAGGTCAATTCGTATTTGTCACAGGAAAAATTCATCAAGATGAAATCTTAATTCTAAACATCTGAATCCGAAACACATCAGAAAAACCATCAGCCATGACCACGTAGGCTTCATCCCAGAGATACAGGAATGGTTCAACATATGAAAACCTGTCAGTGTAACCCACCATATAAACAAGGTGAAAGAAAAAAAAAACACATGATCATCTCATCAAATGATGAAAAAGCTTTTGATAAAATTCAACACCCCTTCATGATAAAGGTATTGAAGAGAGCAGGGATAGAAGGAACATACCTAAGCATAATAAAGGCAAGTCAACAGCCAACATCAAACTAAATGGAGAGAAACGCAAAGCGATTCCACTAAAATCAGGAACAATATAAGGCTGTCCATTCTCTCCATATCCATTCAATATAGTGCTCAATGTTCTAGCTAGAGCAATAAGACAGCAAAAGGAGATCAAGGGGATACAAATTGAAAAAGAAGTCAAACTTTTGCAATTTGCTGATGATATGATAGCATACATAAGTAACCCCAAAAATTCTATTAGGGAACTACTACAACTTATAAAAACCTTCAGTAATGTAGCAGGATACAAGATTAACTCAAAGAAAATCATTAGCCCCCCTATATATACAGATGATAAATAGGGTGTGAAAGAAAGCAGAGAAACATTACCCTTCACAATAGCCACAAATAACATAAAATATCTTGGGGTAACTCTAACCAATAAAGTGAAATACCTGATTGGCAAGAACTTTAAGTCTTTGAAGAAAGAAATTAAAGTTGACATCAGAAAATGGAAATATCTCCCATGCTCTCAGATAGGTAGGATTAAGAGTAAAACTGGCAATCTTACCAAAAGCAATCTACATACTCAACACAAAATAAAAAAAATTCTTTACAGACCTCAAAAGAACAATACTCAATTTCATACAGAAAAACAAAAAAACCAGGATAGTCAAAACAATCATGTACAATAAAGGAACTTCTGGAAGCAACCATCTCTGACTTCAAACTCTACTGTAGAGATATAGATATGAAAACAGCTTGGTATTGGCACAAAAACAGATAGGTAGACCAATGGAATTGAATCAAGGACCCTAATATCAATCCACACACCTATGAACACCTGATTTTTGACAAAGAAGCTAAAACTATAAAGTGGAAAAAATCATCTTCAACAAATGGTGCTGGTATAATTGGATGTTGGCATGTAGAAAAATCAAAAAGATCCATACCTATCACTATGCACAAAACACATGTCTAAATGGATCAAAGACTTCAACATAAAACCAGCCACGCTGAACCTCATAGAAGAGAAAGTGGGAAGCAGCCTTGAGTGCACTGGCACAGGAGACCATTTCCTAAATATATCCCTAATAATGTAGACACTGAAAGCAAAAATTAATAAATGGGACCTCCTGAAACTGAGAAGCTTCTGTAAAGCAAAGGACACTGTCAACAAGACAAAACAGCAGCCTACAGAATGGGAAAATATATTCACCAACCCCACATCAGATAGAGGACTAATCTCCAAAATATACAAAGGACTCAAGAAAGTTTTCATCAAAAGAACAATAAAAAAATGGGGTACAAACCTAAACAGAGAACTCTCAACAGAGGAATCTAAAATGACTGAAAGACACTTAAGGAAATGCTCAACATCCTTAGTCATTAGAGAAATGCAAATCACTACAACTCTGAGATACCATCTTACACCTGTCAGAATGGCCTAGATCAAAAACTCTGATGAGAGCTTATGCTGGAGGATGTGGGGTGAAGGGAACACTCCTCCATTGCTGGTGAAAGTGCTATCTTATATAACCACTTTGTAAATCAGTATGGCAGTTTCTCAGAAAATTGGGAATCAATCTACCGAAAGGATGAAAACTCATACCACAGGACCTTTGCTCAACTATGTTCATAGAAGTATTATTCATAACAGCCAGAACCTGGAAACAACCTAAATGTCCTTCAACCAAAGAATGGATAAGGAAAATGTGGTACATTTTCATAATGGAATGCTACTCAGTGGTAAAAAACAGTGACATCTTGAAATTTGCAGGCAAATGGACAGAACTAGAAAAGGCCACCTTGAGTGAGGTAACCTAGACCCAGAAAGAGAAATAAAATATGTACTCACTCATAAGTAAATAATATATATAAAACAAAGGACAACCAGCCTACAGGCCACAACCCTAGAGAATCTACGTAACAAAGAGGACCCTAAGAGAGACATACATGAATCTGCCTAGGAAGGGGAAAAATACAAGATCTCCTGAGTAAATTGGGAGTATGAAGGGCAGAGGAGAAGGTAAGAGGAGAAGAGGAGGGAAAGGGTGAAAGGGGAGTGGGGGAAAATGTATAGCTCATCCCAAACAATTCAAATGAGAAGGATTTAGTTAAAAAAGAAAAGAACAGTGGGAAGACACACCCTCCCATGACTTTTTAAAGACAAAAGCTACAAGTCTGTGTGCACAGCTGTGCTGTCTTCTAGCTTCCTATTTTAAAGCACAGTCCTCCAACAAATGAGTGTCTGTCTCTCCAAAGTACTTTGCTACCTTTTTCTCCTGGATCTTTATTTTTTTTTCTTTCTATTATGGTATTCCCAACCATATACACACATTACATAGTAACATTATCTTGAGAAAACAAAACTGGAAGAAACCCCATCCCTGCTAATAGTCTTCCATCAAGTTTCCTCATCTTGGCCAAATTAATTTTCTTTTCTTTTCCTTTTCTTTTCTTTTCTTTTCTTTTCTTTCCTTTCTTCTTTCTTTCTTTCTTTCTTTCTTTTTAATAATTTGGCAATGCCAAACATTCTGGAGCTGCTGCTTGGCAAAGACCACAGTTCTCAGATGATTTGGACTTCACTTCCCTTGCTGGAAGTTGCTTCATAACTCTTGCTATGTCTTTGACGTGTTTAGCTTTGAACTCCTTGCTGGTAAAGGCCCTTCACTGAAGGCTAGAAGTGGGACAGTGTAACAGCTCTTGTGAAAGCTGATGTTAAGAATAAAACTTAGGGTGATTCCCTGGGAAAATTAGATGTATAGGAAATTGAGTCTTCTATAGAAATTATTAACTAAGTGGTACCAATGAGTATGTGATATAGCATCTGGAACACATCATTTAAGAGGAAAAACTTAGGGAAATTTTAGAAGCTGACAAACTATGACTGAACCATTAGGTTTTGTGTTTTGCCTCAGAAACATGGAACTAGTATGAACAAGGAAAAAACTATCTTCATTACAAAGGTAATGACCGGCCTTGGTACCCTCCTGAAGGCCAAATAAACAGTTTTAGGAATCTTAATGGTCTTTTACCTCCTCTTTGTAAACTTAAAAAGGGTTCCTGTAAGCTTCAGGTAATTGACTTGAATTCTGCCTCTCACAGGTAATGGAGCCCAGGTAAATACTATGAATCAACAGTCCGTTTCCCCACCTCCATGGCCTATGTAACAGTTCTAAACTAACTATAAACATTCAGCCTTTGCGTCATCAAGTTACAGCCGTTCGTTCAGCTTAATTGGAGTCCGCCTTGGTTTCCCAGGTTACAATAAGATTTTTACAATCTCTCACTTCTTTTGTCTCAGAACAGAGCTTAAGCTCACAAGCAAACAAAAAAGGAGGCGATGGTACAGCCATTACTGATGGGAATGACAGAAGTCCTAAAGCCAGCACAGCTGTTTGGCAAAGATGAGCAGCAAAGTTGAGGCACAGGTAACGGCTGTGTTGCTGCCCCTGGTTTTCATCTCCACCTGTTGCATACTTGAGAGACTTTTAATATTTGGACAATTTGGGGATATTGGGTTCATGGAAAATTTCTTATGAATCATTTATACCTTCTCCCAAGAATGCTATTTCTATGCTTCCCCAGGATGGTACTGAGCATACTATCCCCTTTTGCCTCACCCCACTTTAGGGAGATGCCCTTATCTACTTGAAGGTCTTCCTTATGCCTTGGAGGCTGTGACACACATGAATCAGAGGTCTCTTTATGAAGCTATAACAAATTTTTGAAACATCTGTCCCTTTACAGGAACAAGATAATGAAAACAAAGCAAACTTTAAAATGGTCAACAAGATTTGGTGGGCTAGAGGAGTTGGCCACAGTTCGGATTGCAAGTCTCTTCAACACTCTACACCCAGGCAATTGTGTGGCATACACAGCAACAAAGTTAGACTAACTGAAGCTACCTCTGTCCTACACAGAGACTTATACTGAGGGGCAAAGAATGATGTAGACGATGATAAAAGTAATATGAAGATATAAATTATAAGCATTGTATTATGCCAGAATTTGAATAATAACTGCAGCAGCAGTTATTTCTTGGGCACTCTGACCATTAAGAGTTAATAATACACTGCTTGAGACATGGCAGTATGCCCAGGATGACTTGAAGATTGTTTTGTTCTAATGTCCTTGTTGCCACAAAAACAACAGGCCTGAGAACAGGCTGTCATATGCTTCTAGATTCTTAAAAATTGGGCTATGGGGTTAATGAGTAAAAATGATAACTCTGTTTATCAGTGATGTCAAAACTTGAGAGAAAATGATGGGAAATAATAACTCTGTTCCATCATAGTTTATTAATGATGACTAAAAGATGAGCAAAAGGAAGTGAAACACTTGTCCAAAAGCAAAAATGATGTGATCTGTGTTTTGGAACAACATGAGAGTATCCCTACCTACTAAATTCTGTATAAATGAAGAAGAACTCTGGATGCCAGTCAGTCAAGCTGCAAGATTCTCCCAGCCATCATGGCCTGGCTTGCTTCCTCCCCTCTCCAATTCCTTACATCCCCTGCTGGGACCTGCATCTCCACCCAGGATGTGCTTCCTCTCTGTCCATCGCCGAAAATAAAACTAAGAAGTGTCCTGTGTTTATTCCTTCTGTTGCCACTTTTGCCTCCATCCATCTTCAGACCCTCATCCAGAGCTGCACGCTGGGAATAATTCTCATGCTTTCTTTATATGGGAATCCCCTCTATCACCCACTATCATCATCCACTAATTTTTGATTTCTTTTTCTAAATTAGTTTTATATTCCCATCTCCTAACTAGAATGGGAAAAGTTATCCATGATCTTAAAATTCAAGGGAAATTTTTTATCTTCTTTTTGCCCATCCCAATAATACAGCATTCCCCTCTCCCCCTTACATATCCACTCTTGGCCCAATACAGCATCCCCTCTTAGATAGCTACTTTTTGGTACCAGCTATTCTTTGGACATTTCCTCCTTCTTCAGTACTTGCTCCCTCTCAGTCCCCTTGTTGTTAAGCTCCTTCTCTTGATTTCCCCTTATTGTTTATTCTCCTTGATTTCCACTGGGCACACAAGGTTCAGGTCTGGAAGTCTCTCCACTGTCTATCTGTCACCTTTATGCTCATGGCTTTCAAGCCAAGTTCATGTGTCTGAACTATCTGCTAGCTGTTAGGAGGCTTGCTCAGGTTATAAGAGGAACAAGAAGAAAAAGAATCAAGGAAAGTAACCCGGTACATATCACATGCCCTACTGACATACTTAACATGATTGCATAATTTATCTTGTATGATGATGGCCTATTTGATGTACTTAACATGATTGCACAATTTATCTTGTATGATGATGATGTGGTGTGTGTGTGTGTGTGTGTGTGTGTGTGTGTGTGTGTGTGTGTTGGCTGCAGGTGCACACCTGCCACAGAGCATGGGTAGAAGTCAGGAAACAACTTTTGAGAGTTGTTGGTTCTGTCTCTCCATTGCCATGATTCTGGGAACTGAACTCAGGTCACTGGGCTTTCAAGGCAAGCCTTTGTACCTGATGCACTTCTCACCAACCCCTACATCAGACTTTTAAAGTTTTTTTTTTTTTTTTTGCCAAAGGACATACTTTATTAGCTCCTGAGTTCTAGTTCTCCTTCTCCTGTACAGTTTTGGTTCCACGTAGTCGCCCAGTCTGGCGGGCAGCAATGAGACCCACTTTGCGTCCAGCAGGGGCATCTCTTCGGATAGTGGACGGTTTGCCAATGTGTTGATGGTTACCACCTCCGAAGGGATGCTCTACAGGATTCATGGCCACACCATGTACGCGTGGCCAGCAGTTCCTCTTGGCCTTGTACTTGTGGTAGGCACGGCCAGCCTTCAAGATAGGCTTGTCAATTCTGCCCTCACCAGCCACAACACCAACAAGAGCTCTGTTGGCTGGGGAAATTACCTTCTTGGACCCTGAAGGCAGCTTCACTCGCGTTTTCTTGGTCTCCAGATTGTGGGAAATGACTGTGGCATAGTTCCCGGAGGCTCGTGCCAGCTTGCCTCTGTCCCCAGGCTTCTCCTCCAGACAACATACGATAGTACCTTCAGGCACGCTCGCCAAAGTGGTTTTTCGTGATCCCTACCGGTTTAAGAAGCGGACGGAGCCGTTCATCGCCGCAGAGGGAATCCACACCGGGCAGTTTGTGTACTGTGGCAAGAAGGCCCAGCTGAATATCAGACTTTTAAAGTTTTATCCCTGTTTGTGGATGAGGAACTGGAGTCACAGCAGGGTTTTCCTCTCCACCCCCTCAATGATCTTTCTATATAGCCCCATGCTTCAGTATCGGCGTGACTTTTGTGGTGCTCTGCCTCGAAACCTACAATTGATAAATAGATCTAGAATTTGAGACTAAGTGATTGACTAAGCAACCCATTCTGTGTATCAGATGGCAAATGAAGGCATAGCCCTGCTTTCCAGTCCCCGTTTCTCAAGACAGAAACCAGAACATCAACCTTTGTTTGACTCCCAGTCCACTGTCCTCATTTAAGCTATCGCTATCTGAATTTCCTGACCATTTCAACCCCCCAGTGCACTTTTCCTTCCATTTCTTTTGTCCTTCCTCAGCCCAGAGTTGTTTAACCTTAACATGATTGGCATTTTTGGTTAGTTAATTATTTGGTAGAAACTCTCTTGTATACGGCCTCTAGACAGTAGGTGCCAATAGCACCTGATAACTATTCCCATCGGTTTTGTTTGTTTCTTTCTTTGTTTGTCTCCAGACATTGCCAGGGCTCCCTAAAAGAATTAAGACTCACTAACTGTGGTGATTTGAATAGGAATGGCCTCCATGGGCTTGGGTATTTTAATCCTTAGTCATCAAGAAGTGGTACTACTTGAGAAGAATTAGGAGGTGTGACCTTGCTGACTCTCTCTTGCTGCCTGAGGATCCAGATGTAGAACTCTCGGCTACTTCTCCAGCACCATCGCCATGCTCCCCACCATGATAATAAACCAAACCTCTGAAGCTGTAAGCAAGGCCCCATTAAATGTTTACTTTTATAAGAACTGCCGTAGTCATGGTGTGTCTTCACAGAAATAGAACACTGGCTAAGACACTAACGTGTCCAAAGCTCCATCATCTCTTTCTGATTTACGCTCTAGTTCTCTACCCAACTTTTGGCTTCTACACTTATTCCAATTTTTAGTTTATTGTCCATAAAATAAATAGAAAATAGAAATAAGATTATATTGCTCCCTGTTTGAAATGCTTAACACTTTCCTATTGAATTCAGGAGGAAAATGTTTACGGGAAAACACCAGATTTCCACTAATCTTTGTGTCGTCTTAGATCTGTCAGATTTACCTCTCTCATTCCCCTTTTTTTGATTCACTTTGCTCAGTTCCTGGAATCAGTTGAGCTTTCTACCAACCTGTCTTCCCTCATCTAGGAAACGGACTGCCTCTTTTTCTTCATAAACAGGTCCTCTAGGTACTATAGCTGTCCCATACGCATTTTGTAAAACTGGCTCCTGGCCATTGCAGGTCATTGCTTTAGCGTCAGGGTCATGGGCAAACTTTTTCTAATCAGCACACCCAAATGTTTCCCTCTGCACCTATCTCTTTATTCCCATCAGCCTGCAGTGTGTCCTATTTCTTTTCATACCCTCTCCATTAGAATTAACAATAGCCTTTGCTTTTATTTGCATGTTTTTCTCACAATTAGCCTGTGAAGCTTTGATCATGCTCAGTTTTGTTTAGCTTGGGGTTTCAGATCCATTGCATAGATGCTCAGCAGGTCATTCGCTGAATGATTTGAAGTTTGTATGGCACTTAGAATTTAGAGTGGGAATTTTTTTCAGAGGTTTTGGAAAGTCCGTTTGTTGATGGAATGCAGTCTTGGGAAGAAGGATGTGAGTAGAGGGGAAGCTAGCCGCAGCCAAGATTTCATCAGAGCTGGAGTAGTTTATCCTGGGGAAATTGGAAATCCTTGCTGGGCAACCCCGTGCATCCCCAAGCCAGAGCTGTGAATCTACCAGCCACAGGCAGGCTTCTGGCTTTGGAGCACAGTTACCTTCTGCTGGAGAGGTCTTGGGTAGTGTGGTTTACCCTTTCAGTTTGTGGCTGGAATCTGGGGAAAGTACCCCCATTAACAGTCCTGTCGGGCTCTTAGGCAGGAGGCTAGGAAACAGGAATTAAGTGCCAGCCCTTTGGAGTAGTTTCAGCAGTCAGCAGTTGTGGTTTCTGAGAAAGGGTTCCCTTCCCAGAACCAGTTTAAGAAGCAGAGAAAGGCTGCGGCCATTATTAATGTGATTTTGGTCTTGCAGTAGGTGCAGCTGCATCTTGATGTCTGTACACGCAGATATTCCTTTCTGTTAATGATCTGAGCATCTACAAAGCTCAAGATCCTCTAGACATATGTAGCCCAACCTTCTCGGTTTCTGGAAGGACACTGAGGGCCCTGAGAATTTGGCTTGTCCACTCTCACATTAGTTGATGGAAGAGTTGGATTCACATAGAACTCAACCTTCTTCCCCCACCTTATTGTTCTAAAGGCTCCTTTGGAAACACAGCTTCTGCCTGTGTTTTTTTGTAGGTGAGGATTCAGAGCTTTTATTTTGGGTGTTCTGGGTTCGATGAAATGTAGAAAGGCCATTTTTTGCTTCCTTCCGAAAAGGTCATGGTCAGCAGAAGTCATAGCTCCAGGTGAAAGGCCAACTTGGTCCCCTGACCCTTGCCTAACCCTGTATGGCCATCTGTGTGGTTTCTTTGATGTTGTATTGAACTTAGCAACCGACAGACAGCTGCCAGAGCACCTCCTGGTATCTGCCCTTTGTGCTCCTGCCTCAGCCACCCACCAACCTCCCTTTTGACTCCAGACCCTTTTCTGACCTGGTTCTTGCTTGTTATATATACACAGTAGCCATTCTTAAGACCTGGGTATCAGCTAACCCATTGGAGTGTTTCCAGAATGTTCACTTGTTGACAGGAGACTGCCCCAACCCACCAAGAAAATACAAAATGCCAGGCTGATTTATCTTGCTTGTCTGCCTCCCCTACCCTGGAGATTCTGAGAGCTCTGGCCATCCAGCAGAGCAGGGAATCTTAACTGTTTTCCACTTGTGATATCTTTTGGCCCAAGCAACTTTTGTGTAAGCTCAGGAGTACAGGTATATATACTAGGCATATAAATCACTTACTGACAGTAAATCATAAAGAAAATTTAAAAGTAATTATTTCACATGAATAGAATTTTACCATTTACTAAAGATGGCTTAAAATTTACATGCTAATGAGGTGGACATGCTTGCCTATTTGGCATAAAGAATTACATCTTGGATGGAATTTGATGCTTTAGGACATAGAACGGCATCAGTGTTCTTCACGGTTGGTTGCCGTTTTGGTGGTATAATCACAGATGCTGAGAATATAACTCCATAAACGTGCGGTATAAACTGGCAGAACAATGCTTGGAGTCATTTTAGGAATTGTTAAAAATCCTATCCTAATCCCAATTAGGATTTTTTTTTATAAAATAAATCTCACATCAGAGATCCAAACAGAAGTTCTTCAGAAACCAAACATCCAAATTCAATTATATGAATCGGATATTAAACACTGAGGAATAATGGCAAGGCAGTATAAAATCTTTGTTTTTTATAAGTAAACAGTTACATTTCTGTAAGACCAGAAAATGATCCTAGGAGAAGCCTGCAGTTCATCATATACAAATGTCCTGAGTCTGTGCCAGGGCTGTGAGCTGTGCTGGTTTGCACCGTGTGATGTGATGGCCCACACACTGTGGTGTGTACGGTGGGTGTTCAGAGTCATAGGGTGAACCGTGGCTCAGCATCGTCAGAAACACCGTGGATTTGCTGTGCATTTGGTTTTGAATTAACTCTTGTTTGTGACATGTTCAGACACCTTTGACTCTGTGCCAGAGTTTTCACAACTCCCTAAATTCTGTTACATGACCTCACATAAGAAGAGTGGCCTAGAAAATAAGGGCATTTAAGGTGGGCAAAAATTCTTTTTTATTATAGTTTTTGAAAAATATTTTGTAAGTCATGTTTTTCTTGGAAGAAATATACAAACATCTATTTATTGAGAAGCGATAGAAGAAATGCTATATTCAATGTGACAGAATTGGCCAAAGAAGGCCAAATCATGGATGAAGTGAGGACTATACAACTCTAATTAGTCTTAATCAATAAAGAATCAGGAGTCCGATACTGGGGGAAACCCTGAAATATCAGAGAACCTGGAGCAGCCGTCAGTTGTTTCTACCTCTCTCCTGTCTGCATCTAAAAGGGGCTGAGATCCTGTCTACACTCTACCTAGTCACTTCCTGTGTCCACCTCCCTATTGCTGGAATTAAAGGCCTGTGCCGCCACTGCCTGGCTCCTTTGGTTAACTAGTGGCTAGCTCTGCCCTCTGTTTACCAGGCAAGTTTTATTTGTCAAAGCACAAACAAAATATCATCCAACATTTGAGCTAAGGCTTTTTCTTATGTGCAATACTTGTCTTTTCAAAAGAGGGTAGGCGTTAGACAAGTTACACAGGGGATGAAGAACAGAGTTGGGTTTGGGGGCAAGATTGTAATATGGCATGGGTACTTCTGTTTTTTGGTTCTCCATCATTTAACCCCCTCTTTTGGGAGATTTTCCCAAATTATTGATCTTTTTTGTACTTAGAACCCACTGGTCATCTCTTCCTGTAGAAGTTACAAAGGGAACTTCTCCCTTCAGAGTTCTGGCAGCATAGGCTCGTGAGCTTGTCCAGTAAGATGTTTCTGTATGGGACTTGAAACTTTTCACATATGACATAGGCTGGGGTGTGCATAGAGACAGGCCCATCATAGTAACAGTTTGGGCAATGGTAATGGTGACAGCCGTAGGAGGTGATGGCTGTAGTAACGGAGACAGCTGTAGCAGGCCTTGGACAAGGTCTTCCTGAGAAACGATGTTCATTTTGCACGTTGTCCCTGAACTGCTCTGCATGTTCACTCATCTGGTGTAGTGTTGATTCTGTGAGTTTCCCTAAGTTATTTCAATAATTTTCTTTTCAAATTTTATTATACTTCTTGGTGTGCATGCATATGTGCGTGTTGTGTGTGTGTGTGTGTGTTCCAAGACCTATGTGTGGAAGAATATGGTAACTTGTTGGAGTCATTTCTCTCCATCAACCATACATGTCACAGGGATTGACCATAGACCCCCAGGCTTGGCAGCAAGTGCCTTTGCCTGCTGAACCATCTCTCTGGTCCTTTTATTTTATTTTCACTTACTTTAAGCTACAGTTGATTTCTCTAGCTGGTTCTTATACATAACTGGGTGAATGAGGTGAATTATCCTTTCTAGACTTCTACTTGGGTCACTAGATATATTCAATGGCATATGGTACGCAAGCAGCTTTTTCTGCATCGTGGGAGAGTGGGTTAAAGAGGAGCTATGTAATCTATGCTCTCAGGAGGTGAGAGGAGTATGGGCATTGGTGATTGTGTGTCGACAGATTTGCATGGCCACAGACATAATGCTTATTGAGTAAATGAATGAAATTCCTCCTCTCCCTCCGTCCTCCCCTTGATACAGGTTCTTACTCTGTAGCTCAGAGTGGCCTCTGTAGTAATATGAGCGGCGGGGCTGCGTCCCCAGCACCCCGGCTGCCTGGCTAGCTTATGCCCCGAAATAACAACACACAAATTGTGTTCATTTAAACACTTCTTGGCCCATTAACTCTAGCCCTTACAGGCTAATTCTCATATCCCGATCAACCTACCTCTAATAATATGTGTAGCATCAGTATTACCGGGAATGATTCAGCATGTCTGACCTGACAGCTTGCTTCATGGCATCTGGCTCAGAGAGCAGAGCTATCGCATCTGCCAGGGAGAGGGGAGCATGACCTCTGTTCCAGAAAGCAGAGCTGTCGAGTCTGAGCTCACTTCCTCTTCCTCCCAGCATTCTGTTCTGTTTACTCCACCCACCTATGTTCTAACCAATAAAATGGGCCAAGGCAGTTTCTTTATTAGCCAATGACCTTCCTCCATCAGGCCTCTATGTGCTATGTAGCTCAGTGTGGCACCGAAGTTTTAGTGATTCTCCTGTTTCCTGCTTTTGCCTCTTGAATGCTGGTATGGTAAAGATGTTCCAGCATACACTGCCAGGAAATGTTTGAGACAAATTTGATTCATTTTTGAGTTTCCTGTCCAGGTAGATGCATGTATTGGTGTGATGTTAGGTATTCATTTGTGAATTTCTTATTCCATTTAAGTAAGAGTCTATGATCTTATTTAACACAAAAATTCTATATTAGCTGATATATTCCCTGCTATACGGGGGGGATAGGATCCTGGATATTTTGATTTTCTAAGTTCTGTCTTATTTGGATGCTCTGGGAAAAAGGCATCAGAAGAAAGATTTGTGTCTGGTTACTCAATCATTGTGATTGTCTAGACAGGGCTTACATAATATTCGTGGGCCACTCCTGGAATGCCCCTGTACTGCTGAGAAAGTGTCTGGAGTCTGAAGCTCATTTTCAGATGGGATTA